TGGGAGTAGCTCTAAATCTTCCAAGTCATGTCCTGCAAATGCAAACTCTATGACTTAGTCAATAGCGAAGTTGAAGAGGAAAGGTGACAGCGGGCATCCTTGTCTCACACCGATGGAGATATTGTAGGGTGGCAACAGCTTTCCGTAATCCCTCACTCTGTCCATGCTACGCGCGTATAATGCTCGGATAATATTTAGATAATTCTCGGCCACACCATTCCTGAGTAGACAACTCCAAAGGGCACATCGATCAACCGAATCGAAGGCACCTTTGATGTCGAGAATCACGACAACGGTGTGGCCGCCAATATATATGACGGTGCTCCAACAACTGACGCAAGGTGAAGATATGGTCGATGCAGCCACGACCTCGACGAAACCCGGCTTGCTCTTCACGAATCTGGCTTTCACGAGCGCCAGTCAGTCTGTGAAGGAATACAGAATGTAAGTAATTTGGAGGCGATGGAGATCAGACTGATTCCTCTATGGTTGCCGCATTCCGAACGCGAGCCTCCTTTGAAATGGGAACAATAACGGAGCGGCTCCAGTCGGTTGGGACAGTCTCCTGCTCCCACAGTTTCACTAGTAATTCATGTAAAGCATCAACAAGAGCAGGTCCTCCGAATTTGAAGAGGGCTGGAGGAAGATCATCTGGTCCCGCGGCTTTATTTAACTTCAACAGTCCGATCTCACGTTCGACTTCTGAGCGAGAGGGTGGATCCAAAGGGACAGCCCACGGAGCAGGGCGATCAGTGGCCGGCGAGAAATCGAACAATTCCAGCCGATTAAATTGCTTTTCAAAGTGCTCAGCCCAACGCTCCAAGCGTTTTGATAAATTGTGGATGGGCTGTCCACTCTCGTCACGTATAGTTTCACTAACACCAAGTCTCCCGCTGCCCGTTTCCCGTATCAGACGGAATAACTTACGATGGTTGCCAAGGGCAATGGCCATTTCCTTCTCTGACGCTGGTTGAGAACACCAAGATTCGCGGTCTCCCTTCAGGCTAGCACTCATTCTTGCCCGAAGCTATTTGCGAGTTTCATTGTGTTCGCTTCCAGCCGGAATATGCCTGGGAGCGTCCATAAGTCTGAGGGACTGTGAAGAGACCCAGTATCCATGTTGGCTATTAGACATACCACATGAGGATTTGGCTGCTGCTAGTAAGGTCTGGTGAACATGTGACCAGTAACCTTCAATTGTCTCCAGTGAGCGCTTACTCAACTCGCATGTCAGCGTACTTCGATACGCATTCAAAACAGCTGGTTTCGCCAGTTGGCTGGTGTCAATGCGCTCACAACGCCTTCTTGGGCGTCCGCCAAAGCGCATCAGCAGGTCAGCACATACAAGTGCATGCTCGGTGTCCACACCTGTGCTCCAAATCAAGCGACAGTTCTGGACGCAGCCTCTTCATCGGTAACTTATCGCAATGTGATCGATTTGCGTCCAAGGCTGGTGTGCGCCAAGTCACCCTCCGGCGGGTGCCGTGTCGGAAGTTAGTGCTTGCAAGAAATAAGCGAGCATCTCCACACAAATGAAGTAACCGCTCATTGTTATCAGTACGGAGGCCTACACCATGTTGGCCGCTCAGATGCAGTTCATCAGTGGATAATTTTTCAACTTGAGCGTTCAGATCCCCAGCCAGCACTACAGTGTCCGAGCTTCTTCTGTGGCTAAGGAGCTCGTTCAGTTGATGATAGAAGTCGTCTTTTACCGAATCATCGCTTGAGTTTGTGGGTGCATATGTAGCGATAACGGATAGACACCTGTTAGTCACACGCGACTTCGAAGTTTTGAACAAGCCAGCCAATCGGACCGCACACATCCGGCTACTGATTGGAATGCAGTCAACCAGAGCAGCTTCAGCCCGGGGATTCAGGGCAATGTCAAGACCAGCTAGGCCGCTGCTCGAAGCTGCATCGTCACCGGATAGGCGCGATGAGAAAATACTGCTTGCGTCACCTGAAGGGGATCTCAGAGTGAGCACAGAGCTCGAGTCTTGCAGAAGGATCTCCGATAAGCAGCAGGTGTCCATCGAGAGGATCTCTAATGTTCGAGCAAGTGCTGCCTGTTGACCGATCTGAAGCAATGTGCGAACATTGAGGCATGCCAATCTGAAGGATGATCGGGGGCTCCAAATGGAAGCCGATGAACTGGGCTTGGCAGCTTGCTTGGGCATGGGCCTGTTGACAGTGCAAGAATGGCGCTCCGCGTTCACATGTGAGTTGAAACTAAAAGACAAGCGACTATTGAAGCAAGGTGGGGAAGGGCCGAGAATTGGGGGGTTGAATACTGGGGGCATAAAAGTGAAGCTGGAACGGGACGATAAGGGTGAAAAAGCGCAAGAGGGGGAATAAGAAGACGGGAAGGTTTGAGCAGTAGCATCCAAACCCCTATCCACCCTGCCCAATGCAGCAGATAGGGCACCGTTGATTATCTCTGAAGTGGCCAGAGCAGTAGAAATTTGTTTGAAGTGTGATTCATTGAGTTGCGTGGGCAGGATACTGTCAGGTTGCCCAGCCCTAGACAGAAGAACGATTAGGGTTCTCAACCAAAGCCCTTGGTTAAAAAAACTGATCGCAAGGCAGCGGGTTTGGCATGGGGCTAAAAGGAGTCCGTTTTAAAGAAAAAGGAGCCACGCTCATTCCAACCCCCAACCTGGAGGACCAGGAGGCTGAGTTTGTCTGACCTCTAACCATTGACCAATCTGGTATGAGTGGCTCCGAAGGTGCAAAAATGCACCACCCAATATAGCTCAATGGATCACTGAGGCACACAAATCATCGCATCATGGTAAGGTCCAGCCTCATTGCGATGGTAAGGTCCAGCCTCTGGATGAGACGCAGACAGCACTTGCTCAGCTGCGAAACGACAAGTGTGCCGGTACCGACGGGATCCCGCCTGAAATACTGAAACACGGCAGACACGCGCTGTTGACTGTGCTGCACCACTTGGTGCAACGCGTATGGATTGAGGAGGAGGTACCTCCTGAGCTGAAGTATGCCCTCGTGCTACCACTGTACAAGGGTAAAGCGAGCAAGCAATGTTGCACGCATTATCGTGGCATCAACTTGCTGAGTTGTGTGGGCAAGATGATTGCCCGAATCCTGCTCAACCGCCTCGTCAGGTTGTGGAACCTAACGTGACGGAAGAGCAGTATGGATTCCGTTCGGGTCGTAGCACTATAGATATGGTGTTTGCGGCTCGCCAGTTGCAAGAGAAGTGCAGAGAACGACACCAGCCATTGTACTCGCTTTATGTTGATTTCACCAAGGCATTTGATACGGTGAACCGCGAGGCATTGTGGCTGATGTTGGGTAAGTTTGGTTGCCCGCGTATGTTTGTAAGTTTAATTGAATGTTTGCACAGTGGTATGCGGGCGAGGGTGCAGCTGAGTGGACAGACCTCAGATGAATTCGCAGTTGTCACTGCGAGGCTGTCTTAACTCCTGCCCTGTTTAATATATATCTTTATGCCATGATGTCTTGTGCTTGTGATGCAGCTTGTGCTTACAGTGATCGTGTGGAGCACCGTATTGATGGTGGGTTGCTGTGCATCCGTCGTTTCGGTGCGAGAACTCTAGTCTGTGAGACAACTATCCGTAAGTTGCTGTTTGCTGACGACTGTGCGTTGGTTGCACACAGCGCGGATGAGTTGCAGCACATGATTAGTGCTCCGGCTTTGGCAGAGGCCAAATTTGGGCTCACCATCAATACAAACAAAACTCTCTGTCTCTTTCAGCCTTCACTGGAGATGCAATCTTCAATATTGCCGCGAATCAACATTGGTGCTGAAGTATTGGAAACCACCTCCCGCTTCTGCTACCTAAGGAGTGTGATGTCGACTGACCAGCAGCTACACAGTGAGCTGCGTATCCGCGTATCGAAGGCAGCAGCGGCATTCGGGAAGCTTGAGTACCGAGTGTGGAACAACCATCAGCTTACCATTGGCACGAAGCTGATGGTGTACAAATCCATGGTGCTGTCCGTTCTCATATACGGCAGTAAAATGTGGACGATGTACCGGCGGGATGTGCGATATCTCGAGCGGTTCCATCAACAGTGTTTGCGGCGGATTATGCGCATCACTTGGGGAGACAGAGTTGCTGACACGGGTGTTGCGTCGAAGTGGAATGTATGCAGTGGACTGCATACTTCTGCTGAGACGCTTGAGGTGGCTCGGTCATGTGAGACGTATGGATTCGACGCGGATACCGAAACAACTCTTATATGGTCAGCTGAGTATTGGGAAGCGGCATGTGGGGAAAGCAAAATTACGTTACCAGGACATTATCAAAGTGAGCGTTTCACGTTCTACTCTTGATTGCAGGTCATGGGTATCGAAGGCGGTTGATCGGCGTGCATGGGGCGATCTGATCACGAAGGCAGTTGCCGAAGTGTGGGAAAAACCTCATGCATGCTGAGAAGAAGCGGCAAGTGCCGATGGGTTGTATTCCATTGATATCGAGCGCATGGTGCTGTAGCACATGCGGTCGCGAGTGCTTGAGTCACGCAGGCCTAGTGAGCCATGAGCGAAACCACTAGGGGCCACGACATAAAATAACAAAAGAAACGAGTATTTGTGACTTGAGCCGAAGAAACCCAGTAAAAGATTAAACAAGGTAAATGAGTATTGAACTCATGGTGAGATCGACCATTGCAGTGGTCAGATAGCCTGAATTAAATGGCGCGGCGGCCCCAAACCAGTAGTTCTCTTGCACGCGTCTACCACTATGGCCAACTCTATTACATCTTAGTGTGCTGTAGAGTCGTTGATAAAGTTAAGCGAGTGTGAACTTTATCGATGAGGTGAGTCGAGACGAGCAAGATCAGCCGCAAGACGGAGTGAAGATTACAGTGGGTGAGGTGAACCGAACTGAATTAAAAATAGCATGGCTATGGTAAACAATGTTAACATGAAGCGACCTTTGACGTAGGGCATAATTCCAGAGGCAGTATTGTTAGTGCCCGAATAGCATTAGATTTGTCAGGGTAAGGTACATCTAGACAGAATTCAAACACACCCAACTGGCGCGCTCCTTCTGCTCCAGACGATGCTTCAACTCCAGCTCGAAGTTTCGGAGACGACAGCGCCGTTCACGGCGAATCTCCTCAAACTCTAATCTGGCATGTCGCGCACTGTACGCTGCATCTGAGGTATCTTCTACATCTGTTTGTGACCCGGAGGGTTTTGGTGGGAAGAGAACCGAGGTGCCAGTAAATGACGAAGACAACGTGGTATCAGGCGGACTGATTAAATCTGAAGTGGATTCGAGAACACCTGGACTTCGGATAACACCAGCACGCAGTGTTCGCAGAATGGGCTCATGTGCCTGGTCTGCAACCGAGGCAGTCCTCCGATGTGACATCCTGGGGACATTTTTATTCGCTAGTTCGGATTTTCTAAGGGATTGCTGTATTGCACTGAGAGGAAGGACTCGCCAGCTAGGAACTGAAAGGCAAAAGAATGTAGGGATGAACAAGCTGACATACATAGAGAACAGGTAACCAACAACACAATAGCTGCATATGCATTGTTACTGGGTCACAGCTACTGTTAGGCCGGTGGTGAGAGTTTGGGATCCTTGTTCAAGTAAGACTACCGATGACGACCGTAAAATGCCCAACCGTCGAAGTGCTGTTGATAAGTGGGTGTTCATGGGTTTCGCACATCTACGTACTGGTGGTTGCCCCGGTGTCCACTAGTTGCCAATCCCATAAGAGATGAGGTGAAAATTCCACGGGTTAATGACAGTCACAGCATACCAGACCTGTGCATGAAACCTCCGAAATTGGCTCCATGAGAGGTAAGGGGCAGCCGAAAGAGTGGTGACACTTTCGTATTCGTCTTCTAATGTCTTCTTCTACTATTTCCGGTGAAATATGTATACTTTTCGCAATCCAGATGCATCGTAATTAGTTAGTTTCATTACTAAGACAACTGGATTCACTAGACGGAGCTCAATTGATCAAATGGACAACACATAAACCGAAGACAACTGCAATCCAAGCAAAGAGTGCGGTGGATCCGCCTGTATCGATTCGAGTGTCAGTGGGACAAGAGAAATAAATCAGAGTGACATGAAAAGATGTCACGACCGCACAGGAGCATCGAATGTGGCACAGGTGATTGACTGGTATGTGACATCTGGACTTATTGGACCTATTTCATCGGTGCTTAGCTATGGTCTTTTGGGCAGGTGTGATATGAGAAGCAGTCAGTCAAACTGTTGCAGAACTCGGCTACACGTTCAATTGCGCTCATTGAGCTGAGAGCCATTCGTAAGCAAAAACCCAATTGGAAAAGTGAAAAAAACGGCCAAATAATGTGGGGAATAGTAGTCAAGACCGAAGAACTAGATCGCGTTGGGGCATCTCCACGTGGCCACAGATGCAGGAAACCAACAATGTCAAAGCGACTGAAGACATCAAACAGCAGATCTATCCGAATACTACGACGTGGGACAACCATGAAGAGAAAGTCTGGCGGTACACGGCTGCATGAACATGGCTTAGCCATTCGCTGTTATGAGCAGAACTCTTTGATATCAGTGCATGTGGATGCCGAAAACCACCAGTACGAACTGGAGCATGTCGAAATCCGCAGAAGAGCCACGAATCACTTACGAGGGTCTGTGAAACAGGGCCTTAAGAATGCACTAAGGATGTTGCCTAGTCTGACAACGAAATCTCTGCAAACTAATCATCCAACACGGAGGGTAGTGCAAAATCCACCTCCAGAGCTGCGGTGATTCTCAACCATTGCAGATCCATATGGAAGTACTATGGGTGCGAAAAGGGAAATGAGCTGCAAATCCGTAATGCTATTGGGCTATTAATCTCTAGCTAGTGGCCCAACTACGGAAAAAATGAGTACCAAACGCAGCAAACAAGGCGATGCTAGTTACGAACCCAGTTGCTGAATAAGCCGGACTTCAGCCAGCGAATAGCCGAGCTAGTACCATTGCACCAAGTCAGGAGGTTGATGCCCACATCCGAGCTGAGCGGACCGTTCTTAATGCATCGCTTCCTGCATCAACCATTTTAATTGCACTTGATGTCGCAAAACACGGTCCATCAGGAGTAAAAGGTTTATCGGGGAAAACCAAACAGCTTAAAGCACAGCATAGCTCGTTCGCACACCACATTATATATATATAGCATGCTAAGTCTCTTTATTTCAGGTGGTGGGTTTTCAGTTTTGTCCTAATGCCTTCCTTTCTCATATAAATGTCTAGTGAGCCATGAGCGAGGCCACTCGGGACCACTACAGAACCGACGACGGGTCCTGCAGAGAACGTAGGCAGAACCGGCGCAGCGTTTGTAGGTACGCTGCATTCGATTTACTAACCGCGTGCTTGCATGCTAAGTCTCTTTATTTCAGGTGGTGAGTTTGCAATTTTGCCCTAATGCTTTTGTTTCTCATATAAATGTCTACCTGTACTCTATTCCATTAACTTGCACACCTCGCTTAAGCCAATTGTATTCGATTTCCATAAAATTTTTGTGTTTGTAGCATTTTCCTAAAGTATACTTTCTGACCTCGTTAACTTATCTAGGATTTGTTTGTAAACAACTTATTTCATATGCTCATTAACTTAAGGTTTATGTCACCGTTTCTTTATGCATTAATCGAGCTATTTTCTTTGTCTCTCTCAAGTGATTGGCTGTTGTTTGATATCCCCGGTGTGGCTGTGCTTGATGTGCATGTTGACAAAGTGCCTACCTGTCTATTACCCACTACCTCGTCCATACTGGCTCCAGGAGACTGTTGGTCGTTGCTGGAGGGGACGGGGTGCACGGTCCTTGTGGCCGTGTTAGGATCAAAGAGTGGTTCCATGCACTCAGTGTGGAGCGGACTACGGTCCAACCACCGCCTTGTGTGCGCTTGTGTTTGCCTGTGAAGGAGTGTGGGCCGACTCTGTTGATGAAACGTGGCTCCCATCCGCATGCCTCCCGGTCTTATTCCTTCGGATTTACACTGGATATGGGGTGTGTGGCTGGAGCTGTGGGTGGTGCAGCGCAAGGCACCCGTGGTCCCTCTGTAGGCACAGGCGTCCTGTGGCTGGCCACAGTGAGAGGGAAATCCGAAACCGGATGCCGCCAACCATATAACAACGCAGTTCCATCACTTGGGTTCCCTCTTTACTCCAGTTAAAGAACATCCGGCAAACATCATCCAACCAGCGGGGCTTAGCGCGGTCAATCGTCGAGGACGTTCGGTTCTTGTCTGATCGGCTGCTTCGTACGTCTCGCTGAATTTGATACAGCACTCCCACCACACTTGCGGTAGCAAGTAAAGTGACTGAGCCAAGAGTAAATCGTACAACGTGGTCGTCAGCTCGATTGCTGACACACACTTGGTCGCCCTACCTGCTAGAATCCATGCGAATTGTAATCAAGACAAGACTGCTTCAGTTTGCCCAAACTTCGGTGGAGCAAACGCAGTTTATGCACAAGAGCAGTTTATGAGTGACCTCACTTTGACGTAGTGAGACAGCTGATCGTTTCTGACAAGAACGTAAGGGTTGAATTTCTACCCGATGTGTGAAGATACCTGTCAAGGCAGTTCTCTGGTGTAGTGGTGAATTTGTCTGCTGGCAACCTGTGGCTAGGAATTGATTCCCAAGTCTGGTTATTTATGCTGAAAAAGTGCAAACGGGGGAGAGACTGGTAGTGACGTACAAGAGTGGGAGCACGTGTCAGTTTTGATGATCGAGATGATGGAGAATAGCCACAATTTCATAAGGTTTATCTCGCTCTCTCTTCCACACACACACAAAACAGTTACTCGAGTCCAATGTGCGATAAGATGATAGAACAAGTGTCATAGATACACCAGCACGGATGACAAATAATAGTTAAGTCGGCGACAATATCCTTGGGGTGATGTATAAAAGGGTAAAAACACACAAACCTAACCTTCGATGTAGCTAGTAGAGGAAGTTTTTTCACTGGATAAATCGTCCTCTTCTTCCTCATCAGGCGAGTGCTCAGGAAAACGTTTGCCACGTGGTTTGGGGGGTGAGAGAAGGCTGAAATCTGGTAGGTGATAGTTTGTAGAAGTACACAGGTACTTCAAGCCCGATTCGACTTCATTGGATGAGGAAATAGGCGTTCGATGAACAGAGGACGCGGACAATGTGACGGAACGCCTTTCACGAACGGAGAGAGGATTGTTCTTGAGATCCGGACTATAGTGGATTGATGGTTCCCCCAACAACTCGACAGATCCACGTCTCTTTGGTCTCTTCGGTACATCGAACAGACTGTTTTCTGTTCCTGCGACAGACACAGTAGACCTCCGTTTGGATCGAGGAGCGGATTTATGTGTGTTCTGTGAGTGTTGGACGTTACGTCTGTTGGCGCTTCGTGAGCACGAATCAGGAGGTGAATCGGTGTAGGTAACTGTGGGTACTTCCCTTATCATATCCTCTGAACGACTGTCCGGTGCGATGTTTGGCATGGAGCTCGTTGATTCCGTGGCATCGGACAGATTTCCGCCATGTGAAGTTCCGGAAAAAGTACGTTTTCTATCTTCCTCTACATGTCTAAGAACGATACCAACGTCTGTCTTAGAAAGTGGCGTTCTGGATTCAAAGGAAGTAAGAATAGGCTCTACCTTGACATGCTCCCAATTAATCGCGGAATCTGACGACGTTAAGAAACGTGGATTCGACATAGCAGAACGACTGGTCCAAGTGTGTGCAGCGTGGACAGAACTCGGTTTCACTTGAGGCGCAGAAGCGTAAGATGCTGCTGGGGGAGTGCCATACTCACAGGTCGAAGGCATTTCTGAGGGTTGGGAATCATTAACCGACTTCAAGGGAAGGCGAGGCGGGCTGGAGCCAGGGGATGGTTCGCACTTCCCGCTGCGAAGTTGCATGCAAGGGACAGATTGATGTGTGTGCCTGCGTGGTGTATACAGACGCCGGCGTTCTGAGAGCAGGAAAAAACAAGAGGACTGGCAGATAGACACATTGGAGCAAATAAAGACGTGCAAACTCCAATGGATGCAGTAAAGTGAGAAGAACAGCTCTTGGTCATCACGGCTATCAACGCACCCTCTAGCATACTAAGATAACCACGAGAGAGTAAATTAACAGTGCGAGCTAACTGCGATATGACATTTATCGGTTTCAAATAAGGTCTTAGCAATTCAAAAGGTCGAGGTTAATTCCAGGGAAAGGCATGCTTCAAGTCTAGATTGTGTGCCGAAAACCATACGCACCATGACTATTCCAAAATCAAGGGATAAATATCCTGCATGCCATTTCCAAAGAATGAGGCAGTAATGCTCGCGTAGCTCTGGAACGAGTATCACCAGAAGTCAGGCTGAGAAGGTTGGTTTTGTCACCATCCCCATCATTAATACATGTTAGCCGAGGGTGAGAGACACACCTCAGCTAATGTGACGCAATACAAAAAAGATAAGTGATTAAACAGTACAGACTAAAAAGTATGAAAAAAGTAACATAATGCGAAATAACACATTATGCAGGGAGTTTGAGATCGTTGCTAGATGGGGAAGCTAAAGAGAAGGGGAGAGACAAAGAGATAACACAAACGCTATTGAGGTCGGTTCGTCGCTGTCAGCTAGTATATATATTCAACCAAAGGTGTTCATCATCCTTCGGTCCCCAGCGCGGCACTGATGCCAGGTTCGAAACGATGGATTCCGTTCTTCTTGACCAAGTCATCGCTTGGCCACCCCTCCACTTCTTCCGTCCAGATCCCCGGCGCGCAAACAATGCACGTCACGGCTGTCGGTGGGATGGTAACACGTGGCACAGCCATCGGAGCCTGGTGCGTGCGGTGCCGAGCGGTCCACTCGCTCTTGCTGCACTAACTACGCGACGCAGAACACGCTCATTGCTCAAGTGGTGTTGCCACTAGACATGAGGTAAGCTGCAAATGCAACGATGGTCGAACGTAACTAGCCTCTTTATGTCGGCTGATCTAATGGGCCAGGTTTCGTAAGGGCACAGGAGAGTTGAACGGACGGCTGCATTGTAAACTTTGCCCTTCAGGGCGACAGTAATGTCACGCAGGCGCCACAGGTTGCGGAGATTGACAAAAGCGCCTCGAACTGTCGCTGTACGGTTCCTGACCTTGTCTTCAATCTCGAGGGCGCTAATATAGCTGCGCAGATACTTAAATTTCTGAACGACTTCTAGCTGATCACCACCAAGAGTCAGCGCAGGGGTGGGTCCCTGCCAATCTTGGAGAAGGACTTTGCATTTCGAGGGTGCAAAGCATAGCCCGAAATGAGTGACAGCCAATGCTAATCTGTCCAGTGCCGCTTTGGCACGTTTGTGAGCTGTCACATGTGAAGGCGATGTCCTCAGCATACTCCAAGTCAAGAAGTCAACAACCTGGGAGGAGCTCCACATCTTCTAAGTCGTGTCTAGTGAACGCGGTCTCCATAACTTTGTCAATGGCGAAGTTAAAGATGAAAAATGATAGCGGACAACTTGTTTCACATCGGTGGGAATACTGAAGGGCGGCGAAAGTTTGCCGTAAACCAGCACTATGCGCTTACAGCGTCCTTATGACATTTACATATTTATCAAGCACACCATTTCGCAGTAGACAATCCCAAACGGTATATCGATCAACAGAGTCAAAGTCCCCTTTGATGTCTAGGAAAACAACTACGGTATGTCGCCAATGAACATGGCGGCATTGCAACAACTGACGTAAACTGAAAATGTGGTCAATGCAGCCTTGATTTTGACTAGACCCGGCTTGCTCCTCGTACATCTGGCTTTCAGGGATGCCAGTCAGTCTAAGGAGGACGACGGAGGAAAGTAACTCAAAGGCAATTGAAATCAGACTGATTCCTCTATGAATGCTGCATTCTGAACGGAGCTTTTCTTGAAATTTAGGGCTATAATGGAGCGGCTCGTCTGTTGAAACAGACTCCTACTCTCATGGATTCGCTAATAAATTATGTATATCGTCCAAAATAGCAGATCCCCAGAATTGGAAAAAGGCTGCATGAGGCGCCTCTGCTCCAGCGGCTTTGTACAATTCCAGCCGTCTGATCCCAAGTTCGGTTCTTGCGCGTGACGGCGGACCCAAGGGGACGGCTTAAGGAGTAGGGTCTTCACTGGCCACTGGAGAAGCTGGAAATCTTAAATGATTAAAATGCTTCTTAGAGTGTTCGGCCCCACGCTCCAGGCGCTGTGGATCGGTTGCCCCTTTTCGTCACATATGGTCTCGTTAACACCAAGTTTTCTGCTGCCCGTATCTCATATCAGACGGAATAACTTCCGATGGTTACCAAGATCAGTAGCACGAGGCACGATGAGACCAATAGGCTTCGCAGTCCCATTTCAGGTAAGCACGCAGTTTCGCCCTAAGAACTTTGCGAGTCTCATGGTATTCGCTTCCAGCCGGAACACGCCGGAGAGCACCCAGAAGTTTTAAAGACGGCTTGGAGACCAAATGTCTAGGTTGGCGATTTGATTTGCCACCTGAAGACATGCTTGCTGCTAATAACATCTGGCGGATGTGCGACCATTGATCTACAACTGTGTTCACTGGGCGTTTACTCAGGTCAGATGCCAGCGTATTTTGATACGCATTCAGAACATCTGGGTTCGCCAGTTGGCTAGTATCTACGCATTCACAGCGCCGTTGCGGACGTTCGCAGAGACACCCGGAAGTCAGCGCAAACAAGTGCGTGATCAAAGTCCACGCGTGTGCTCCAAAATACAGCGACAGTTTTGAGCACATCCTTCCCAGCGGTAGCTGATCGCGATGTGGACGATTTGCGTCCAATGTTGGTTTTGTACACGGATGCAACAAAGTTTCACGCTGTAGTTCAGCTTTCTCAGAATTGTGGATACACCAAAGCAAACTAAGAACGAATCATTTGTGAATAATCAACCGTATGGGATTCACTCAGACTCGCAGGACTGTAAACTCGGGGGCAATTCGTTCGCTGTGGACATCTTCCCATGTGACAGCAATTATCACGGGGGTATTAGATGAAGTTAACACCAGACATCCTCTGTACACGTGAGAAGTCGAAGCAAACTGCGTGACAGTATCGAAGGGGTAACAGCGTGAACTTCGGTCCTTAGAGCAGAGCCAACATCCAGATAGCGTCACATACGAGATGTTTGCAAGTGGTATCTCACAATTTTCACACAGCAAATAGCTGAATATTTACCTACCAAAGGTGTATAAAGCACTGTTTGACTTGACTTGGTGTTGTAATGCTGCCCTTTGCTTCTGCCTCTCTGCCCTACCAACCAGCCGGGGAAAACAAAACGCTGAGCCTGCTAGACCGAAGTATATTAGGTACAGAACATGGCTATTTTTATAGGTCACATGCGCTTACCTCGCTGCTATCACTGAGGTGAGTCACATCGCTTGTCTGAACATATTCGACTCTGGTAGCGACCATCTCTCTCTGACTGTAGGTAGGATCACGTGCGCAACATAGCAACCCGTACGGCGACGACGGTCTGATTTCGTCAGCTTCCTGTTTGACCATGACAACGAGCCTGTCAGTCGCTCACGTGATCTGGCCAACCTCGCCCCGCTAGTGTGCACCATCGTAGTCAGCTGTTTCACCTCCGTAACACTTGGCTCTATCAATAACCGAGCAACCATTGAGAAACGAATGAGGTATTTTGTTTTAGCTCTAGAGTACACTGGGATTAGTAAAGATGCGGCGCAGATTTACCAGCAACCGGCTCGATGTTGCGGCTATCGAGTAGCTTGGGTGCCTGACGTTAGAGACGTCGAACATGAATTTCTCCCAAATTCCGTTAGCGTTTGCATAATCACAAAGAAAATCACTGGATACTTTCTAGCCGATTACAAAGTGATGAAACAGATGTAAATCCGCCAACCAAAGTAGCAATCCTTTGTAAACTAGAATCGTGAAACGGAGCGAGCAGATTGGGACACAGTGGCACTATGAAGCTTTCGGAGCCTAGAGCAAGTATTGGTAAATTAGTGTGACGTGCGTCCCATGGATGGAAACCCTGGCAACAAGGTATACAGAGATGAGCTCCTGACAGACCAGGAACCGGCTGCTGTGCATGTGTCGCCGTCTCAAGCCCCTGTGATGATCACCGAGTAAAAGTTGAGCCCAGGTTTTCTTATGACTAAGAGCCAGAATACAGACTCGTGGACAAACGGAATCACGGCAGATTTCCTGTTGTCTTTCAGGAATACGGTTGAGAATCTGAGTAGATCTGTTTAGGCGTGGGTGTCCAGGTAGTGGATCAAATTACCAAACATGAAACAGCACAAATGCAGTCAATTTCATTTTGCATCGGCACGGGGAGCACAGTGAAGGAAATTAGCCGATGTACTCGCTGCTCGTCGAATTTAGCAAAATGTTCGGCACGCTGAAGTCTGAGGATAGTGCCAGTTAAGCTCAAGCGCCGTGTGGATTAAAGTACAACGGCGCGGAGAATTCCTAGAGGAGCGTGATGGTGCCCCTGATGTGAGACAGCGATGCGTTTTAGCCCCCACTGTCATTAATGTTCGTCTAATTGTCATAGTATTGTTTTCATCTGATTCGAGCACTGCGCAAATGATAGTGAACTACTGAAAGTCCGGAGCCAGAACTGTGGTGAGCAAAACTAACCATCCGAGTGCTGTTGTTTGCACACGATGAGGACGCTCGGCAACGCATCATCTAATCTCGTATGTACATTCGACAAGACTGTATGCTTTCTTAAACATCAATCAGTGCTTTTCCGGACTAAGCTGTGCTAGGTAGCTTGTGAATTACCGGAATGAACACACAAGAAAAATTACAACTAAAATCCTGCTACTTGCGAGTAATCTAGAAAATAAATAGTCTCTCCTAGTACCAAATGCTATGGATATAACGTCTAATGAGCGGACGCCATTACCTCGCAGGCTAGCCACTGTCAGTGGAAGTGGTGCCATCTCCCAGTTAGTTTGCAAATTATGTTGCCCAACCAACATCCCTATGGCTGAGTGGCTTTAGCTGCTAGATAGTTGGCATCTGCCTCGAGCGACCATGGGTTCGATCCATAGTAGGGGAAAGAGGGAATGCGCACCACTGACGAGCCCCAATAGGGCGAAACGCGCCTGGTGCTTCTTCGGACTAGGCTGTGCTATGTAGCTTGTGAACTAACGGGATGAATATCTTACAAAGAGTAAAACTAAAATCCTGCTACCTACAAGTAATATACGAAGTGAATATGTTGCCCACAAATTCAGGTTGACGACAAGATTTACCGTAAGAAAGTAAACTTCGGAGACAAGCAGTAAATCGGCTTGCGGACAGGCTGTGAACGTGCTGTGCTTGTGTGCTCAACCCGTTGAATTGGAGTATCAGGGGGGGGTGAGAAGAGGAGCATCATCCGATTGTTGGTGCCAAGCTGATGGCGTACAAACCAATGGTACAATCCATTTTTCCTTAAGGCCATAACAAAAGGACGTCCGCTAGCTGGAGCTTTATAAATACAGTTTGCGATGGATTCTGCGCATCCACTGGTGAGACAGGGACCCCGACACAGAGGTGCTCCATAGCAGTGGCAATTACTGAAAGGCTGCTGATGCGACAATTCGGGTTTACCGAATGGATGCAACCGTAGTGCCAGATTAGAACGATTAGTATGGGAAAAATGAGTGCATGTGGACAGAAGTTGCGCCATCAGAATATGGTCGAGGTGAATTTTTCACGAACGAGGTTTAATTTTGTGTGACAGGAGAAAATGGTAAATGATTAGCTAGGGAGTTTACAGGAATTAACGGCTGGCCGATGCAGATTGCCATAATCATCCACATGGTGATGAAGTGCATGAGAGTTGGCCGAACAACCGCCTCGTGGTGCCAGCTGGGTGGTTCGGAATTATCCCGTTCCAGTGATGGTTTGGCGAGTGTACTAGAACGTGGTGGGTTTTCGCCTTGGCAAGCGTTCGCCATATAAAAAGCCACATAGGTCCGTTTAACAACACGGTAGCGTCGTGGATGTGACCCGCCATTAAATAAAGTCATAGCCCCTTGCCTCTCGCTGTGTGACATTTTAATTCCAGGGTGTGTTGGGCCCCTGGTCCTTTGCAATCCTAAAGGCGTATGAACCACTTGCTTGGTCACCGGCTCCCAACGGGTTGCGACACCATCATATCGTCATGATGTCTTGCAGGTTAGATCCTTGATAAAAGGCTCGGGATAGGGTCTCCTAAGACAACCGGGTAGTATCACACCCACTGACGAATCATGAATAGGCTATACTACTGCTTTTACGCTTGTTGCACCCCAGTTGAATGGTCTTGGCAAATCATTAATGTGGTTGCAAGGAAGTTGTTTTGGAAGGGCGAGGAGTGAACTGCATGAGTCTGTTGAAGCATCTAAAAGACGCTGCATCCAGCATCACGTACTAGTCACGAAGATAGTATGACTGAAGTGGCAGTTGCTGCGAAATAGCTGTATACAGCACGGGCTTGACACGGATTCCGGCTTGATATGTCAGATCTGAATGCGCACGGCGCGAGTGTTGCCAAGGTGCGCAACTATAATCCGGGCACCGAAGTGCAGTGGGTCCAATTACTACGTTTCATGTCGCCAAAATAAGAAAATTGACGGCGGCAAGGACAGGAGCTTGAAGGCAAATAGAATACAAGGATAGAATCAGACAGAAAAGTGTAGAACAAATCGTGGTGGAATAAAAATAAACAAATGCAAGAAACGGAATACAGGAACGCAACTGCGCGATAGGGTCCCCCACCGTTGGTGGGGACCATCCTTGAACCCCCAGCCATGAAAACGACATGCACCAGCCTGAGCAAGGAGCTCGGTCAGTTTCGCCATGCTTTTATACCACGTCATTGAATGACCATCTCGCGGTTTCGCTTAACTTGGTGCAGCTAAGGCGCATAATGCACATCGAAGAAGTCGATGAACGGGCTTGCGGAAAACATAGCCTGGCTAACGTAAGCGGTTAAACTTAAGCAAAGACCCGAGTGAAACACCGGAAGGCCTTTTGCCAAAATTGGCTGGTAGTCCAAAGGAAAACGCGCTTGCGCTGTAATCTCGAGGTCATCGGTTCGAATCCGTGTAGGTGCGGTGGACCTCGTGGTACACTTTACCTACGCGCAACAAGTGGTGGTTGCGTGGCAACGAAGCGTCGGTACTGCTTGCGGACGTACTGCTGATGCACTTTCATTCACTACTTAGGATCGGCAAGTTAGTTCGTCATGATGTTGCTTAACTGCGGACTTCGAGCTCAAGTTACAAGTGAGAAGTTTATAAGTCAGGCGCTTCTTTGAAGCGGGAAAAGTGAGCGCTAGGCATGCGCGGACTAGAGCATGGTCAGAGTCCAAGCATGTGCCCCAAATTGATTGACAGTCTTGGACTGATGTGTGACATCTATACCTGATGGTAATATGGTCAATTTGTATAAAGGTGGGCGCCATATGACTCGATGTGAACGTTTGTGTTAGAAAGCAGTGTTACCAATATAAAGATAGTGATCAGAGAACAGTTGCAGGAATCGATCGCCACTGTCCGTTCGGGATGCACAGACTCCGAAGCAGCATTGCGGGCGTTGTTCAGAGTCCGAAAGCCGACGCACTTTGACATTCGAGTCATCAGCAATAATATCAGTAGTTTTCGCCATACGGGAAAGAGATGGAAGATAATGACAAAAATCATCCCTGAGACCATCGGAACAGCAGCCAGGAAGGGTATAAACGAAAGCGATGAAAAGGCACCTCGTCCAATAGAGGCTTGAAATCGAACAACACACACGCGGGTGTTCATTGGTATCTAATCGAGTAGATAACCTTCAGCATGTTTGCTGAGAGTGATACCGAGACCATAAATGTCTGGAGCCATTAACTTATTATTACCAGAGATGCGAAGTGTCAGCAGATTCAGAACCAAGGAGTAGAATATTCAACACAACTCTGTTAGCTTGTATGTGTGTTTCGGAGACACAGCACACATTAATACTAAGTGAAGGGTGGGAGCCAGTACTGCCCCGTTGACCGAGCTGACCCAGAGTGTTGAGGTTAAAAGAGCCAAGGTGAAATGAGACCAGTTTGATGGAGAGATTGCAAGTATCAATGGCAGCAGCTGTGAGGTCAGCGGCAGTCTCTTGTTCAATGGACGAGGAAGAAGGGAGCTGAAAGAGATAAAAATAAGAAAGTATTGTAGACGATGTCGAGAGAGAGCAGATGATACTCTGCAGCTGCGCATTTCAAGAGCGAGATTTTGATCGAGGTGCTCAACCTCTAGCGTTTGATTTAACGGTCTGATCCACGAAGCAATGTGATACGTAGAGTCTTTGTATCAATGAGCTGACCCATAAGGCAGTGGGGAGTAGGTCCAGCTCGGGAGTGTGATAGCATAGGCCCAATGGGATCTGTTTGAGGTCAGTGACACAACCTTTGATGATTTAGAAGAGTGCGCACGTATTTTACGACCGTATTACGTTAGGCACCTATGACTACGGCGGGTTTACATGACTTTGACCAGCGGCTGCCTGGCTTGAGGTAAGCGGTGGCAAACCATTGAGCACCGGGTGGTGCCCTCACACCATCAGAAACAATGCGTGGTGCTCGTGCTCTATGCCAGTCAAGTTATGAGCTTATAACCAATAAACCTGTTGTCTTCCATGGCTAGGTTTTAAAAGAAGAGGGTCATTGACCTCTCCTAAACCTGCGAGGATTGTGAGAGTTAATCTGACCCTAACCGCTGACCTGTCTGGAATGAATGGTTAGGAAGGTACTTGGAAAATATTACCCAGCGTAGTTCAATAGGTCACGGAGGTACGCAGACCATCGCACCACGTTAAAGTGCAGTTCGGATTTTGATCGAAAGCTTTAGTCGAGAACTCCACTAGCCCTGCTGTCTAAGTTTGGATGTCATGGAAGTATCCCAGCCCACTTAACACCGTGACTATTTTAGCAAACATGAGAAAATGCATCATGGTTAACTTGATAACAAGAAACATGCATGATGGATGTGAATTTACATGTCTAGACAAAATGAATCAGGCATCGGCATGTGCCCAAATGACACTTACTTTTCGTTCGGTGATCAGTGACGTCAGACAGAGCACGAGTAGGATAGACTGGTTTTCCTTTTTGTTCAGCTTGACTTTCGGGTTTCGACTGAGCAGAGAAAAGAAACGGATGCGCACTCTAAGAGAAGCGCAAGTGTCACGAAGTGAGATGACTTACGAATCTCCTCAAGTGAGAAAGAGGTCCCTCTGACCTAAATTCACTCCATGCTGTGCCTGATGGGTAGATATGAAATCGCCGAAGAATTCCGACCATATTGGACTGGACAGCCGTCACCATTGTACGGCAGCTGCAAGCGAACGATTCTTCAATCGTGAATGCCATCACAAAAAGGGGTATCCCGGTGATACGATCGTACAGAAAAAGAGGATGAAATCAGCGAATAGAATAAAGGCGGTTGTGTTATGTACTACAATAGAATATTCACACTACGAAGGACATTGAGGAAATGAGCCGACGAACCACAGTCGAGAAGTGACTCAAAAAACCTGGGTAGTTGCACTAACGCTAGTGACCGGATAATCGTAGAGACCACTGCACGCACTGACTTGTCGAAGCCTCAGTTGTTTACAGAGATTGATAAATAGTAGCGCATCGGTCAAGAAAAGAGCGTACGTTGAAACGCAACCAAAGACTAATAAATAGAGCAGAGATATAAGCACTAGATGCTGAGGATATTGGGAGACTAACTATGTTTGAGCACTGATGCGTGGAAGTATGCATATATCTGATCAGAATACCGGAGGAATTTGGTTATTTGGTGCATATTAACGAAGCCTGTGGTAGTGTATAAAAATGCCAGTTGAACTAGAACTACTGTCTCCGATGAGATCGCATTTCGGTGTCTAGTAACCACTCACGCTGCGATAACCCCGACGTAGATAGTTAAGGACATGGAAAAGAAGAAAGAACAAACTCAACGAAAGGTTAAGCAGAGAATGTATGTTTGAGGTTTCCTGTCATTCATTCATTCATTGTACACGTCAGCTAGAGGTGGGAAACACCTCAGCTACTGTGCCGCAATACATAAGGGAAAAGGAAAATAAATACAACAGTTGCATGCCAGCTGAGCTACCAGCAACGGATAGGCATCTTTCCGGTGAGCTACCAGCCGGATACTAGGCAAAAAGAAAAAGTATTGTTTCACGCTACGAAATGAGATGATAGGTGGAGGCTAAAAGGGATGGGGATGGGCAAAGAAACTCACAGCAGGAACGCCACTGAGGTCGGCTCCTTGCCATGTCAGCAAGTGTATCCAGCCAAACGTGTTCAACGTCTTTTGGACCCCAACCAGGGAGCCCTGACGCTCCAACCGAGGCCTGCTCCGAGGTGAGGGCCTTCATTCCTCTCGACCAAGTCATCGCTTGGCCATCCCTCCTCTTCTTCCAGAAACATCCCCAGTGAGCAAACGCACGTCGTGGAAGTCGGTGGGCGGTCATGTGCAACATGTGGCCCAGCCATCGGAGCCTGGTGCGTGAAATAACGGGGCTGAGCGGTTCAGTTCCTTTTGCTGTGCCGTAAACAAGGCGTCGAACACGCTCGTTAATCACGCGGTGTTTCCACCAGATGTGAGCCAAATTGCGAAGGCACCGATGGTCGAACGTAACTAGCCTCTTCATGTCTGCTGATCTTAGGGGCCAGGTTACGCAACCGTACAGTAGGGTCGAACGCACCGCTGCATTGTACACTCTACCCTTCAGGGCGAGAGTAATGTCGCGCCGCCGCCATAAGTGGCGAAGGTTAGCAAAAGCACTTCGAGCTTTCGTTATACGGTTCGTGATCTCGTCTTCGATCCCAAGGGCGCTGATACAACTTCCAAGGTAGTTGAATTTTCGAAACCACTTCTAGCTGATCTCCACCAAGGGTCAGCGCAGGATGCGATCTCTGCCAATCTTGGAGGAATGCTTTGCATTTCGATGGTGCAAAGCAAAGCCCGAAGCGACTGACAGCCAGTGCCAATCTGTCCAGCGCCGCTTGGCACCTCTGGGAGCTGTCACAGATGAGGGCAATGTCGTCTGAATACTCCAAGTCAAGAAGTCGTTCTCATGGGAGTAGTTCCACACCTTCCAAGTCATGTCCAGTAAATGCAATCTCCATGACTTCGTCAATAGCGAAGTTGAAGAGGAAAGGTGACAGCGGGCATCATTGTCTCACACCGCTGGAGATATTGAAGGGTGGCGACAGGTTGCCGTAAGCCCTCATTCTGCCTGTGCTACGCGCGTATAATGCTTGGATAATATTTACATATTTCTCGGGCACACTTCCTGAGCAGACAATTCCAAAGGGCACATCGACTAACCGAATCGAAGGCACCTTTGATGTCGAGGAACATGACTACGGTGGACCGCCAATATGTGTGGCGGTGCTCCAACAACTGACGCAAGGTGAAGATGTGGTCGAGGCAGCCACGACCCCGACGAAACCCGGATTGCTCCTCACGAATCTGGCTTTCACGAGCGCCAGTCAGTCTGTAAAGAATAATGGAGGCGATGGAGATCAGACTGACTCCTCCATGGTTGCCGCATTCCGAACGCAAGATTCCTTGGAAGATGGGAACAATAACGGAGCGGCTCCAGTCGGTTGGGACAGTCTCCCGCTCCCACAGTTTCACTAGTAATTCATGTAAAGCATCAACAAGAGAAGAGCCTCCGAATTTGAAGAGGCCTGGCTGAAGATCATCTGGTCCCGTGGCTTTATTTAACTTCAACAGTCTGATCTCACGTTCGAATTCTGAGAGAGAGGGTGGATCCAAATGGACAGCCCACGGATCAGGGCGATCACTGGCCGGCGAAGAATCGAACAATTCTAGCCGATTAAATTGCTTTTCAAAATGCTCTGCCCAACGCTCCGAACGTTTTGACAAATTGTGGATAGGGTGTCCACTTTCGTCACGTATAGTTTTACTAACACCAGGTCTCCTGCTGCCCGTTTCCCGTATCAGACAAAATAACTTGCGATGGTTACCAAGGGCAGCGGCCACTTCCATCTCTGACGCACGATGAGACCACCAAGATTCGCAGTCTCTCTTCAGACTAGCACGGAGTCTTGCCCGGAGCTCTTTGCGAGTTTCATTGTGTTCGCTTCCAGCAGAAATATGCCGGCGAGCGTCGATAAGTTGCAGAGACCGCGAAGAGACCCAATATCCATGTTGGCTATTAGACATACCACATGAGGAGTTGCCTGCTGCTAGTAAGGTCTGGCGAACATGTGACCAGTGACCATCAATTGTCTCCAGTGAGCGTTTATCCAACTCGCATGACAGCGTACTTCGATACGCATTTAAAACAGCTGGTTTCGCCAGCTGGCTGGTGTCAATGCGCTCACAGCGTCGTCGTGGGCATCCGCCAAAACGCATCCGCATGTCAGCACATACAAGTGCATTATCGGTGTCCACATGTGTGCTCAAATCAAGCGACAGTTCTGGATGCAGCCTCTCCATCGATACGTTATCGCAATGTGATCGATCTGCCTCCAAGGCTGGTGGGCGCCAAGTCACCCTCCGGCGGGTGCTGTGTCGGAAGTTAGTGCTCGCAAGAAATAAGCGGGCATCTTCACACAAGTGAAGTAACCGCTCACCGTTATCATTACAGGAGCCTACACCGTGCTGACCGCCCAGATGCATTTCATCAGTGGACAACTTTCCAACTTGTGCGTTCAGATCCCCCGCTAACACAACAGTGTCCGTGCTTCTTCTGTGGCGAAGGAGCAGGGTCAGTTGGTGGTAGAAGCCGTTCTTTACCGAATCATCACTACAGTTTGTGGGCGTGTAGGCAGCGATAATGAATAGACACCTATTAGTCCCGCGCGACTTCGAAGCTTTGAACGAGCCAGCCAATCGGACCGCACACATCCCGGTTACTAATTGGAATCCAATCAACCAGAGCAGCTACAGCCCGGGGACTTAGGGCAATGCCATCGGCTTTTAGCTTAATACGACACGACTACGAAGTCAGCGGGACGCTTGCACATATTCCCTCCGTAGATTTTAAGGCTTGTCAATTCATTTTGAATACTCATTGTCTACAGCCATTGATCAGCAACGTAAAGCAGGGCAAGTGGGTCATTATTATTATTATTTTGCACAATCTGTGGTACAGATATTGTGCTATCGGAATCATGGCTGAATAGGAAAACAGTGTGAATAATAAGAAAAGAGCAACAATGAAAGCTTTTTTTGTCTATTTTACCACACAGTTTTTGAGTTTTTTTCAGTTTGTTCTTTTTTAGGGGAAGGGACAAAGCAACACACCGATGCACACGTCCGCCATTGAGATCGATCTTGAGCCATACCTTCCAAGGTCTTCAACAAGCAGATATCCGCATCTCTCGGCCCCCAACCAGGTAGTCGACAACAACCGGCCGAGGCCAACTGTTTCGTCAGCTTTTTCATGCGGCATCTCCATGTTGTAGGCTGTCTACCAGACTGTCTCTTCCAGCCCTGTCCAGCAACCGCAAACAACGTACAACGCGGGTAACGCTAGACAGGCATGCGCAATACGTGTCCCAACCACCGCAGTTGATGCAATGAGACGAGCTCCTCGAACGAGTGGCTTCCACGTCCCAAGACATGCTGTCTAACTTCCACATTGCTTACGTGGTGCTGCCACCACACACGAGCAATGGACCGCAGACAGCGGTGCTCGAAGACGGATGGTCTGCGCAAACCATCTTTACGAATGGGCCAGGTCTCGCATCCGTAAGACAGTACTGCAAGAAACGTTTGCACAGTAGACCCGCCCTTTGATGGAGAGACTAATGTCGTGGCGACGCCACAAATGCCTCAGCCTAGAAAAAGCGAGGCGTGCGCTCGAGATGCGCATCGAAATCTCGTCTCCAACAGCCCCGCCAGCAGTGATGCAACTTCCCAAGTAGACAAAGCTCACCACAACCTCTAGTGTCTCACCAGCAAGAGTGCAGGCAGAGGCACCTGTCAGTCTTGGAAGCGAGCCTTGCATTTAGATGGCGAAAAGTACATACCATACTTTGATGCTTCAATCCCCAAGCGGTTTAGTGAAAGTTGGACGACGTGTGGATCGTCACCCAGTAAGACGATATCGTCAGCATAATCCAAATCAACAACTCGACTAGCTGGGAGGAGCTCAACGTCAGCGTTCAACGAATCGCCCAGAGCGTTCTTCAGCACCTCCTCAATGACAAAGTTGAATAGGAACGGAGATATAGGGCATCCTTGTCGAACTCCACTGGAGACCACAAAGGTAGGCGAAAGCTTGCCATAAGCCCTAACCCTGCCCGAGGTCAGACTATAGAGAGCGCACAGTATGGAAACAAACTTCTCGGGGACACCATTCGTCAGTAGGCAGTGC